AGAGAGAGAGAGAGAGAGAGAGAGAGAGAGAGAGAGAGAGAGAGAGAGAGAGAGAGAGATCTTTAGCGCCAGGCACAGAAAAGGTGAGGATGCAGGCAGCAGAGGAAGTCAGAAGGAAAAGAAGGGGAAAGTCGGGAGGTGGGCGCTGAGACATCAAGAAGCAGTGAGATGGTGGGAAGCCAAGCGGAAAGGGATCGACTGACGTGCAGGGGGTTAAGTTCGGCAGGAGTAGACAACTTGGGGTGTACACATCTCTGCACTTCAATCCGAGCAACTTGCATGCAGCCAATTGCAGGAAAGAGTAGACAAAGGAAGAAGACAAGGTGCAAGAAGAAGCGGAGGAGAGAAGATGAAGGGGGATGGACAAAAGTTAGAACAGCACGTGTGTATGAGAACCTTCAATTTTTTCCTTAAAACCTGTGTCCAAGCAGATGACTCAAAATTTGGTCTTAAGTTCTCTTAACTGCTACAAGTGCTTTCTGAGAAGAAGTACGGCCGTTTCAGGTTGATGCACATGGGAACCCAAAGAACTGGTCGTGTACCCAAGGGTACAGAAACAGCAGTATGCTAAATTGTTCATCACAAGTTTTCCACTGTCCAGCTTCTTCATCGCCCCTTCCCCCACTGGTTTATCCTTTGACTTCCCCGCCTGCCCTATTGTCGGTTGCTTGATTGGGCATGTGACAAATACCCCATCCGTGGTGAGCTGTGCTTCTATCATAAAGATGGTGAGAAAAACTTGAAAAAGGCTCTAACAAGAAGAGCCTGTGCCATCAATTCTGCACTCTGGACATTCGGCTTACTGCGAATTCTACAGGACAAGAGCATGCCGGAAAAGCACAGGTGAGGGGATATCGATTGCTAGCACAAACTACCCAAGATGCTTCTTCGAGTTCGTTATTGTTTTACGACATGAACCTGGTCATGTTATGGTAAATTGGAGCATCTTTCGGAATTGCTCTCTATTTCTGGGTTGCTCGGTGGCCTTACCTCTTGGTTTTCTCATGTTTTGTGCACAGTTGCACTGCTGAACGAGGCTCAGATGGATGCAAGCATCTTCCGACGTGATGCCCCTGTGGTTACAAAGCGCTGGCCGAAATGGAATGTGTGGGTATGTGGACTGCTGACTGCGATCGCTTGGTTCCATTACATGTACCAGCCTCTGGAATATGTTGGTTTGGGATGCCTGGTGTTTGGATGGTTTCCGATTCTCCGGAAGGCGTTTGCTGCCCTGAAGAGAGGAGTTATGGACATCAACTTCTTAATGTAAGTTCACAATTGTCCATATAAAAAACCTTTACATGACCAATGAGCTTAGCTCGGTTCGTACACCCCTGAACTGTTGAAATAGACCTAAGTTTGAATCCTGATGGACCTAGATGAATTGAATGAATCATTCTAGAATACCTGGGGGCAGACACTTCAATCGTACACCCCTGAACTGTTGAAATAGACCTAAGTTTGAATCCTGATGGACCTAGATGAATTGAATGAATCATTCTAGAATACCTGGGGGCAGACACTTCAATGATTATACCTCAAGGCAATACCTCAAGGTCGTCGTCCTTTTGAAAAGAGTGAAAGAAAACACAAAAAAACTATACGCGCAACAAAAACTGCCACCATTAGTTTGCTTCTGCTGCGTGCGTGTTCTGGTGGTGCAAATTACCTGCCATTTACACAGCAACATGTGAATAACAGCCCCAACATGTTGAGAAGAGTACCTGCTCTTTTGACCCGCTGTCACCCGAGTGGACGCATGTTTAGAATGCCTCTTACATCAACCTGTCAAATGGGCGCATGTTCACAGTGCTCAGTATCTTTTATGTTGACCTTTTGCATTATTGCAAGCCCTGAATTGAGTTGTCTGGGCCTGCCATCGTAGGAGACCACATCCTTCTCCCCAGCCAGCTGAGCGGTACGTGCATGTTACTGTTGATGAACTGATCAGAAGCTCGAATCGTGAAGGAATCAGATACACACAATGATGTTAGGGGTCACCCCTTTCTTTCAAAAAGAAAAGACACACCACACCCTTCCACTATATGAGGTGTGTGAGCCACAATCATGGCACAATGGCTTTTTTTCCCCCCTCCTTTTTTATAGAAAAAAAGTTACAGCTGTCTTTTCCTCATAGGGGGACAGTTGTATTTTTGACTACCCTATTTTCTTCTCTCAATATATCTCACACTAGCTACCCATATCTATGTCCTACCCACAAGCCCAACGAAGGACCTGTCTGTACTTGGCTTTAGGGTCATCTCAACTAGACTACCCCCTAAGAGCACCAAACGAGGACTACCTATGGCTACCAGGTAAGCAGTACCCTGAGCCACAATGGCGATTAAAAATGAAGCGGAAGAACATATTGTTTGTGAACCCGGGCGAATGCCATGGCCTTCGACTTTAGCTTCACATAAATCGTGTTCGTCCATTCTATTGCCCATGTAGGTTACATCTTAAACCACCAGTCCGTACGAGCCTCTTCTTCTCGATGTACTGTCTTGCCGGGGCCTTAAAACCGGACTGTCTTGGGGGTTATCTTGCCAGGTTGAGCCACCCTTTTCCCTCCAGTAGGCCCAAAGCATGATATTGCAGTGCGATAACCATGTTGGAGCAAGGCACCAGAGAAATGGATTGGTGTTTTTTTAACTTTTTTTTTTAATAAAACAGGTCCTTATGGCCCTGGCTCCATGTCCATTCTGGGGAGCATCAGTCCGGTTCCTATTCCCTCGGCAAGTCATATGAAGTATTATGAACCAGATTACATCAATATACCCACACACGCTCCCTTCCGTCTGGCCGAAGGGACCCTGATCAGCATTGATTGCTCCACAGATCTGGAGGATTGACTGTCAGCTTGCCTGTCCCTGAAATTCCTCTCAGGCTCCTCTATCAGGGCCTGTCAGGTATGCTAGTATTCCAAGAAAAACAGGTAACTTAACCAGTGAGTTGGCATTGGAGAGTCATATATCCCTGTCGTCCTGTTGTCCAGCCTGTAAAGAAACTCTTGTTCTTTGGGAAGTCTCTGAGTTATGCCACTCCTTCCATCTGATTTGCAGCGCATGAATGTCGGCTATCTTCCCATTGACTAACCACACCGTCTTGAACTTGGAGATTAGTTCTTGTTGCTTCTCCGGGTTCTGCTGAATCTGGAGTTTGACCTTCTTCCATTGGCATCGAATATCCGTCTCCATAAAGAGTCTTGTTGCTGCCCAGACCTGCTCCGCCTGATTACTGGACTTGTCAATGGTTCTGTTGCACCTTTCGTTCCAGATGACCAGAGAATCACTTTCCTGATTATTCCAAACCATGTGCGTTCAGGCTTATGGAAATGGGCTGGGATGTTAGTCAATAGGAGAAGTTGAATCGGGTGTTCAGGTAGGGAGGAAGGAAATAGATGGTCCCAGAGTGCTGAGGCTCTCGCCCAAATGTCAGTAGCAAACTTGCATGTTATCAGGCAGTGTGTGAGATCTTCTCGTTCGTTGTCCGAACACACTAGGCACCGTTCTGAGCTGTTCGGGTCGCTGTCCTTCCTTCGGATGTGTAGCCAAACGTTCACTGGGAGAGCATTATAGGTGAGTAACCATTGGAGGCTTCTAATTTTGACTGGCCGGATAGACTTGTATTTTCGCCAGGGAAATTCGGGGATTGGCTCCATTCTCTGTCCTAACAATTTAGACCATCGCTCCTTGATTACAGGTTCAGGGTCCTTTGTTTTCAGTAACATCCTGTAACCCATTTTGACTGTGTATTGTGTTATCTGAATGGGAGTCTTACAGAATCTGTTGCTTACTGAGAGCCAGGCCCATTCTTCTGGGTCGAATTCAAGATCCTGGATCGCTGTGTTCATTTGGAATATTGATTTCGGCCAGGTTCCCAATACTCTTGTCTTGCGGAGCGTATAAGTATTGAGGATTGTTTCCTGAGGGTCAATATTGTGGATGGAGAGCGAGTTGGGATTGGACCGGCTTATGGGAAAAGACATGAATACTGCTGAGAGGTCTGCGCCCGGGCATCTGCGGTGAAACTGGTATGCTTTCTCGGGTGCGGAATCCTGGATCAGCACCCCCCATTCTCCTGATTTCCATGAAAAATTTTCTTTTAGACTTTTAGTAGTTCTTTCCACCCATCGGGGATGCTGTTTAGGACCGTTGTCAGATTTTCGTGCCGATTATGGCAACCTTTTAGCAGATGACTCAGTAGTTCTTCATCAATCCAATCCTTCTTTGCTTCGTCCCAGATGTGCCCTACCCTCCATACTCCATGTCTGACCCACGAAAGCCAGCATTGGCCCTTTGCTAGCAACAGAGGAAGATCCCCTGCATCCCTCACATATTGATTCCCGAATAGGGGCTGACGAAGCACTTCTTCTTTGGATTTGGGTTTCTTCACTTTGTTCGTCTGAATTCCTCTCCAAATTACGATAAGGGCTGTCCAGTAGGGTGTTGACAGTTGGGCTTCGTTCTGTTGTGGGTTAGGTCGTCGTCTTCTCGTACCGGTCTTCGGGGTCCAGTCCTTATTCATTACCCAGAACAAGCCTGACATATTGGCAGGAGTCTGAACTGGAGCTAAGGCTCTGATGCTGTCTAGGGCTAGTTTGTGCCATGCCAGTCTTGGTTGGGTTAGTACTTTGACTATCCATTTTATCTGTAGGGCTTTTGTTTCTTGTTTGGGGTCGATTATCCCCAACCCACCTTTGGAGGTCTTCCAGGTTATGTAGTACCAGGCTATTTTTGGGATATATCTCGTTTTGTTGGGATCACCTGCCCACAGATAGGCTCTTGCTTTGCTGTTTAGTTCTTTGATGTTCTGGTCCGGTATGGAGGCTATGTACCACGTCATAGAGAAGATAGAAGTATTGAGTGTCAGGGCTCTCCCAAGCAATGAGGTGTACGTGTCTCCCCAACATCCCACTCTGTTGATTTGTTTGCTTGACAAGTTTTGTCCCATTTGTGGTGCTGGGCCATCTTTGGTAACCATGATTCCCAGGTATCTCGTAGATTCCTGAGGTTGTTCCCATGTCATGTTTGCTTCAGGGCCCTCCATCTGGGGTCTTTCCTCTTCTGAGAGCCACCATCCGACTGTCTTTTTCCAGCTGATCTTCATTTCTGAATTAATTTTCCATGTGGAACTATTGCGAGGCTCAAGGCCTCGATCTGCCCTACTGGAACCTATTTTCTGTACAGTCGGCCGCCCTAAGTGAAGGCAGGCTCAACCCAGGGCCTACAGGCCTATTTTGGGGTCACCACGTAACTGGGTGAATTCAGGCAGTTGCGCAGCGCCGGTTGGTTAAGAGCGCCCAGGCCCAGGCTGCCTCTCTCGAATGTAACCGAGGCAGGCCCTGGGCCAGATTCACAACATGGACCGAACACAGGCAGCAGGCAGTTGGGCACGGGCAACCACTACAGGCCCAGGGCCTGATTTGTTTGGACTGGGGCTCAGCCTCTCTGGGCCTACAGGAAGCTTCTGGGCAGGGGCCCAGCGCTGCATGCAAGCAGGCAGGCCACTTCCATTTAGGAAAGTGCCTGCCCACGCATTCAGCATTCGGACACTGGCTGCATGCTGCGCAAGCGCTGCTTCGCTAACGCTGGCCAGCGCTCACGCGCTCAAGGGCGAGCTGGAAGGAGCAGGCAGCCATAGCCGAGCTGCGCTGCTGTAAGCTAGATGGGACGCATGGTGGTCCTTGGGTGCACGTGGCATCTGTGAGTGGGGGATCGAGGTTGTGAGTGATACGAGAGACATACCTGGTGCTTGAGGCGAACGGCATTGGCCGAGATCTGCTTGTACTTCAGGGAGCTGTTGACGTCACCAGTGGCATTGTAGATAGGCTGGATAGGATCTGCCATTTGTAGTCTGGGCGCAGAGCGCCAGATAGGATGTCGACATTGCTTCTTTGTTGATGATGATGAGACTATTCGAACATTGTCACTTATGAGCTTTTGCTGTGCTCTTATTTGGTGGGACTCGTGTTGCAATTCTGCTTTTGGTTCGAGGTCACGACTATCTGGTCTCATGTGTATGATGCTGCTTGGTTTCTGAAGTTCGCTATCGCTCATTTTCCTTGCACTATCAAAGGCATATGCGCAGAGTAACGTCTCCCATTGACAATAAGCACTCTATGGTCTATGATAGAACCCCAATCATAGATCATGACCGTAGCATCATTGACGTCACCCTCCCTGAAACACGCACGAAGAAAGTGACGAAAAACACGCCAAAAATCTCCCATTTTCATGTACAAAGTTCTTCAAGGATTCTTCCAT